TTAGTAGAGATGGGGTTCGCCATGTTGGCCAGGCTGGTCTTGAACTCCTGACCTCAAGTGATCCACCTGCCTTAGCCTCCCAAAGTGCTGGGATTACAGGCATGAGCCACTCTGCCCGGCCTACAATTTTTTGTATTTTTGTATGTATGGTGGTGTGTGCCTGTGGTCCAAACTACTCAAGAGGCTGAGGCAGGAGGCCTGCTTGAGCCCAAAGGTTTAGGCTGCAGTGAGCCACGATCACACCACTGCACTCCAGCCTGGGTGATAGAGCAAGAAGACCCTGTTTCAAAAAAATAAAAAAAAAAACAAGAAAACCCCATTACCCATCTGTCCTGTTCTCCTAGAGAAGAATTTAGCCTCCTTTGCAAATATATTTGTTAAAATTACAAATACATAACTTCAAAGGGTATCCCCAGAAAAAAATGTGGAAAAATTCTTCCCTTAACATTCTAAATTCTGTAACTTGTGGCAAATTTAGCCACATAAGATACCTTTAAAATATAAACAGTAAAATATATATATATATAATTTATATATTTTTTGAGACGGAGTCTCGCTCTGTCACCCAGGCTGGAGTGCAGTGGCGGAATCTTGGCTCACTGCAAGCTCCGCCTCCCTGGTTCACACCATTCTCCTGCTTCAGCCTCCTGAGTAGCTGGGACTACAGGTGCCCACCACCATGCCCAGATAATTTTTTTTTATATTTAGTAGAGATGGGGTTTCACTGTGTTAGCCAGGATGGTCTCGATCTCCTGACCTCGTGATTCACCCGCCTCAGCCTCCCAAAGTGCTGGGATTACAGGCATGAGCCACCGCACCCGGCCAAGAAAACAAATATTAGGTGATAATTTTGGACTTTAAAGTGTTTCACAAAGCCCTCGGGGTATAAGAAATCCTAAAAGTGCCTCATACACCACTGCTTACAGGGAAATAACAATCTACAATTCAAATAACAGATTAATTCCAAACTAGTTTATATACTCTGTTCTAATTATGTTTTACCTCGAGGAACTTTTTTTTTTTTTTGAGACAGAGTCTCGCTCTGTCGCCCAGGCTGGAGTGCAGTGGCGCGATCTCGGCTCACTGCAAGCTCCGCCTCCCGGGTTCATGCCATTCTCCTGCCTCAGCCTCCCGAGTAGCTGGGACTACAGGCGCCCACAACCGCGCCTGGCTAATTTTTTGTATTTTTAGTAGAGACGGGGTTTCACCGTGGTCTCGATCTCCTGACTTTGTGATCCGCCCGCCTCGGCCTCCCAAAGTGCTGGGATTACAGGCGTGAGCCACCGCGCCCGGCCCTCGAGGAACTTTTTAAATTAGCTAACCACTATAAAAACCAAAGTCTCATTATAAAACATGCTTACAGGCATGCCTCATTTTATTGCACTTTGCAGATACTATGTTTTTTGGTTTTTTTTTTTTGAGATGCAGTCTCGCTCTGTTGCCCAGGCTGGAGTGCAGTAGCGCAATCTCTATTCGCTGCAACCTCCGCTTCCTGAGTTCAAGCAATTCTCTGCCAGGGATACAGGTGTCTGGGATATCCAGGCTGCACTGAACTGTGATTACATCCCTGCACTCCAGGCTGGGTGGACCAAGCAAGACCCTGTCTACAAAACAAAGTACTTCAAGGTATGGGCCAGGCACAGTGGCTCATTATTCCTAACACCTTGGGAGGCTGAGGTGGGAGGATTGCTTGAGTCCAGGAGTTCGAGGCTGCAGTAAGCTATAACTGCACCACTGCCCTCTAGCCTGGGCAACACAGAAAATAAAATCCTGTCACCCCCTCCCAAAAAATAAAAATTAAAGTATGTATTTTTTTTTAAGACATAATGCTACTGAATACCTTACTACAGTATAAACTTTTTTTTTTTCTAAGACAGGGTCTTACCCTATCAACCTAGCTAGACTGCTGTGGCACGATCACAGCTCATTGCAGCCTCGGCCTCCCCCCGGGCTCAGGCAATTTTCTCACCTCAGTCTTCAGAGTAGCTGGAACTACAGGCATGCACAACTGCACCTGGCTTTTATTTTTTGTAGAGATAGGGTCTGACTATATTTCCAGGGCTGAACATAACTTTTATATGCACTGAAAAACGAAACAATTTGTGGGACTCGTTTTATTGAGATTATCTTCTTTATTGTAGTGCTGCAGTCTGGGACCAAGCCCGTAGTCCCTGTGAGGTATGCCTCTATTTCCTACCACAACCAGCAGTAACTTTCAAGTCACAATGTAGATAATCAGAACTCTAACTCATCCTATGGATGGATGCTTTGCTTCTTAGGGTATCAAAGAGACAGTGAGACTCTGTCTCAGAAAAAGAAAAAAAAAAAAAAAGACAAAAACAAGAAACAACTTGGCCGGGCGTGGTGGCTCAAGCCTGTAATCCTAGCACTTTGGGAGGCCGAGACGGGCGGATCATGAGGTCAGGAGATCGAGACCATCCTGGCTAAAACGGTGAAACCCCGTCTCTACTAAAAAATACAAAAAGCTAGCCGGGTGAGGCGGCGGGCGCCTGTAGTCCCAGCTACTCGGGAGGCTGAGGCAGGAGAATGGCATGAACCCGGGAGGTGGAGCTTGCTATGAGCCAAGATTGCGTCACTGCACTCCAGCCTGGGTGACAGAGCGAGACTCCGTCTCAAAACAACAACAACAAAAAGACTGTAGTGGTTGGGCATGGTGTCTAAACCCCAACACTTTGGGAGGCCAAGACAAGGGATTGAGGCCAGAAGTTTGAGACCAAACTGGTCAACATGGTGAGACCACACCTCTAATTTTTTTTTTTTTTTTTTTTTTTGAGACGGAGTCTGGCTCTGTCACCCGGGCTGGAGTGCAGTGGCCGGATCTCAGCTCACTGCAAGCTCCGCCTCCTGGGTTTACGCCATTCTCCTGCCTCAGCCTCCCCAGTAGCTGGGACTACAGGCGCCCGCCACCTCGCCCAGCTAGGTTTTTGTATTTTTTTAGTAGAGACGGGGTTTCACCGTGTTAGCCAGGATGGTCTCGATCTCCTGACCTCGTGATCCGCCCGCCTCGGCCTCCCAAAGTGCTGGGATTACAGGCTTGAGCCACCGCGCCCGGCCTACACCTCTAATTTAAAAATAATAAAAAATTTGGCTGGGCACAGTGGCTCAAGCCTGTAATCCCAGCAGTTTGGAAGGCCAAGGCAGGCGAATCACCTGAGGTCAGGTCGAGACCAGCCTGACCAACATTGAGAAACCCCTTCTCTACTAAAAATACAGAATTAGCCAGGCATGGTGGTACATGCCTGTAATCCCAGCTATTCCGGAGGCTGAGGCAGGAGGATCAGTTGAACCTGGGAGGCGGAAGTTGCAGTGAGCTGAGATCATGCCACTGGACTCCAGCCAGGGCAACAAGAGCAAAACTCCGTCTCAAAAATAAATAAACATTTTAAAAAAAATTTAAAGGGGCTGGGCGTAGTGGCTCATGCCAGTAAACCCAGCACATTGGGAGGCTAAGGCAGGTAGATCACTTAAGATCAGGGGTTTGAGCCCAGCCTGGACAATATGGCAAAACTCTATCTCTATAAAAAATACAAAAATTAGTGGGCTGTGGTGGCATGCACCTGTGGTTGTAGCTACTCATGAGGCTGAGCAGGGAGATCTCTTAAGACCTGGAGGTGGAGGGTGTAGTGAGCCGAGATCACACCACTGCACCACTCCAGACTAGGCAACAGAGGCATAACCTCTTTCAAAAAGACCTAAGATGGGAGGCTGAGGCAGGAGAATGGCGTGAACCTGGGAGGCGGAGCTTGCAGTGAGCCAAGATTGCGCCACCGCACTCCAGCCTGGGCGACGGAGTGATGCTCTGTCTCGAATCACCACCACCACCAAGAAAAAAAACCTAAGAAACAAAAATTAAAATAATAAAGACTGCAGTGACCGGTATATTTAAGGTTCTGAAGATGGATATAGATATTTTGTCCCTCAATATTCTTGAATAAGCCAGGCGCGGTGGCTCACGCCTATAATCCCTGTACTTTGGGAGGCTGAGGCGGGTGGATCACCTGAGGTCAGGAGTTCAAGACTCCCAGCCTGGACTACATGATAAAATCCCATCTCTACTAAAAATAGAAAAAAAAATTAGCTGGGCGTGGTGACTTGCACCTATAATCCCAGCTACTCAGAAGGCTGAGGCAGGAGAATCGCCTGAACCTGGGAGGCGGAGGTTGCAGTGAGCCGAAATCATGCCACTACACTGCAGCCTGGGCAACAAGAGGAAAACTCCGTCTCAAAAAAGAATCCTTGGATAAGGAACGAAAACTTTTATTTTGCCGGGCGCGGTGGCTCAAGCCTGTAAATCCCAGCACTTTGGGAGGCCGAGACGGGTGGATCACGAGGTCAGGAGATCGAGACCATCCTGGCGAACACGGTGAAACCCCGTCTCTACTAAAAAATACAAAAAACTAGCCGGGCGTGGTGGCGGGCGCCTGTAGTCCCAGCTACTCGGGAGGCTGAGGCAGGAGAATGGCGTGAACCCGGGAGGCGGAGCTTGCAGTGAGCTGAGATTCGGCCACTGCACTCCAGCCTGGGCGGCAGAGCGAGACTCCGTCTCAAAAAAAAAAAAAAAAGAAAAGAAAAGTTTTATTTTAGGTTAGGGAGTATTTACTTATTTAAGTGAGGGCTAGAATGGTTCAGTTTTATCAGCAACAAAGGCAAATCACAACTTTTTCCTTGCCACGTGTGCTACCCTATACCCTACATTCTGTGCCTCACTTAATATACAGAAAATACTTGGAAATCCACAATACTATGGCCCAATTTTTCTGCTAGTATATTTGCATATTAACATGGGACCTAGAGAAACTTTTGGAACAAGGTGATATTTATAAAACTGTTATTCTTTGTTTCACATTAGTATCAAGTCTGTCAGAAACACCAAGTAGCTTTATTACCTTCTTGAAATGTTACTTCTAAGCAGGCCTATTTATGTGTTTTTTCTAAGCCTCAATTTTCTATTTAATATTTCTCAGAATAAAGAAAACAGCTCATTTTAAACAAGAAGTTTATTTAAACAACAAGACGCTTGACTGGAAGGGAAAACTATCTAAGATTCTTTTTTGTTTTAGAGTAATTTATCCCTACTTAAAGACAGATTGCCCTACATGTAACAGCTACGTACAAAAAAGTTATAAAATTGTCCTTGGTTTTACAATGATAAATGAAAAACATTAAAATTCTCCAATTGAACAAGGTATGCAAGGATTTTTATGATGTGTGTTTTTGTTAAAACAGTGAGAGCAAAATAACTTACTGGAATATAAAGATAAGAGCTGAATGAGCATGCCACTAATGGAGAAAGGGGGTATTTTCACAGAATCAGTATTTTTCCCCATCCCGTCTCCACTTGATGTCAATTAAAACATACCATTGGCTGTTTAGTTAAAAAAAAAAAAAATGCAATATGCTTGTGCACATATACCAGTTACTTTATGTACAATAAAGGAATGGGGAAGGGGGAAATGAAAGAATAGAGAAAACTATACGGTAGTAGTCAGGATGTGGTGGAACCAAATTGCAGTTTTCTAATTGAGAATGTAATCTTGGTCTTTAAAGAACAGAGTTCTGGAGTAAAGAAGCAGGTTCCCTTTTCAGTAGACACCTCCCGTCTGCTGTTGGAACACATCAATTGTATCTTCATCCTCCATTTCCAACTAGCATAAAAGAAAAAACAAATGTAAGAGCACTGATTAAGTTCTGAAAATTAATGATTTTCAGGTTTAAGTATGCTGAAAACATGTACATGTTCCACTGAGTTCCAAGTTTCATTATTTTAGATGTCTCATAGCTTAATGTATCAACACACTTGGTTTAAGTAATTTTTTACTTGGCTTCCTTTTTTATGACTATTAGATAAAACTTAACTTGTTATGTGTGTTTTTTTTTCTTTTTTTTTTTTGGAGACAAGATTTCTGTCACCCAGGCTGGAGGGCAGTGGCGTGATCTCAGCTCACTGCAACCTCCATCCCTCAGGTTCAAGCAATACTCCTGCCTCAGTCTCCCAAGTAGCTGAGATTACAGGCATCCACCGCCATGCCCAGCTAGTTTTTTTGTATTTTTAGTAGAGACGGGGCCTCCCAAAGTGCTGGGATTACAGGCGTGAGCCACTGCGCCCAGCCAAAACTTAGTTTTTGAGTAAAAAGCAGAATATTATCCAGGTGCGGTGGCTCATGCCTGTAATCCCAGTACTATTAGAGGCCAACATTGGAGGACTGCTTGAGCCCAGGAGACCTAGACCAGCCTGGGCAACAGAGAGAGAGACAACATCTCTACAAAAAAAAGTAAAAAAAAAAAATTAGCCAGCCACGGTGACACATGTCCATACTCCCAGCTACTCAGGAAGCCAAGGTGGGAGGATCAATTGAGCCCATAAGATAAGGCCGCAGTGAACTGTGACCACACCAGCTCACTCCAGCCTGAGTGACAAAGCGAAAGACCCTGTATCAAAAAAAGAGAAAAAAAGGCAGGGGCCAGGCACAATGGCTCACTCCTGTAATCCGAACACTTTGGGAGGCTGAGGCGGGCGGATCACCTGAGGTCAGGAGTTCAAGACCAGCCTGGCCAACCTGGTAAAACCCCATCCCTACTAAAAATATTTTAAAAATTAGCCGGGCATGGTGGCATGTGCCTGTAATCCCAGCTATTTGGGAGGCTGAGGCAGGAGAATTGCTTGAATCCAGCAAGCAGAGGTTGTGGTGAGCCAATATCGTGCCACTGAACTCCAACCTGGGTGACAGAGCAAGACTTGGTCTCAAAAAAAAAAAAAAAAGAGAGAGAGGCTGAGGCAGGCAGATCACCTGAGGTCAGGAGTGCGAGACCAGCCTGGCCAAAATGGTGAAACTCAGTCCCTACTAAAAATACAAAAAAAGAAAAAGAAAAAATAGCTGGGCATGGTGCCGCACGCCTGTAATCCCAGCTACTTGGGAGGCTGAGGCAGGAGAATCACTTGAACCCGGGAGGTTGAAGTTGCAGTGAGCCAAGATCATGCCATTGTATGTGACGAGAGAGAAACTCTGCCTCAAAAAAAATTAAATCAAAGCTAAATATGTGTGTGTCGAGGGTCCACAGAAGGGTGATATGTTTAAAGAATCTCGCTGCACTGTTCAGCAAAGACTGAAAATAAATCTCAATAAAAACCCAAATTAGGCCGGGTGCCAGGGCTCACACCTGTAGTCCCAAAACTCTGGGAGGCCAAGGTGGGCGGATCACAAGGTCAACAGGTCAAACCCATCTGGCCAACATGGTGAAACTCCGTTTCTATCAAAAATACAAAAATCAGCTGGCCGTGGTGGCACACACCTGTAGTCCCAGCTACTCAGGAGGCTGAGGCAGGAGAATCAGTTGAACCCATGAGGTGGAGGTTACAGTGAGCCATGAGTGCCCCACTGAACTCCAGCCTGGCAACAGAGCAAGACTCTGTCTCAAAAAGAAAAAAAAAACCCAGGCTGGGCACCGTGGCTAACACCTGTAATCCCAACACTTTGGGATGCCGAGGCAGGTGGATCACGAGGTCAGGCATTCAAGACCAGCCTGGCTAAAATAGTGAAACCCCATCTCTACTAAAAATACAAAAAATTAGCTGGGCGTGGTGGCAGGCGTCTGTAATCCCAGCCACTCAGGAGGCCGAGGCAGGAGAATCGCTTGAACTTTGGAGGCAGAGGTTGCAGTGAGCCGAGATTGTGCCACTGCACTCCAGCCTGGGTGACAGTGGGAGACTCCGTGTCAAAAAAAAAAAAAAAAAACAAAAAAAACCCCAAACTAATAAAACATAGTATGCTCAGATATTAAATACCATATAGCCGTTAAAAAATACATAGATTTTCATGTACAGAAGTGAAAATATCTTTAAGATACAGTAGATACAGTGTTAGGCTAAAAACACAATTTTAAAACTAAGCAGCAGCCAACTCTGGGTGCACTGACTATATATAAGTTAGCCATGCTTTGTAAGGAGCAGTTAAAAAAAAAAAAAAGTACACCCCAAGGAGCAAAGCCGCTTATTGTATGACTAAATTTGTTTTTTTTTTTTTTTCTTGCGACGGAGTTTTGCTGTTGTTGCCCAGGGTGGAGTGCAATGGTGTAATCTCGGCTCACTGCAACCTCTGCCTCCCGGGTCAAGCAATTCTCCTGCCTCAGCCTCCCAAGCACTTGGGATTACAGGCATGCGCCACCGTGCCCAGCTAATTTTGTATTGACTCCGTCAATACAAAAAAATAAATAAATAAAACAAAAACAAAATTAGCCAGGCATCGTGGTGGGTGCCTGTAAATCCCAGCTAATCGGGAGGCTGAGGCAGGATAATCACTTGAACTCAGGAAGCGGAGGTTGCAGTGAGCCGCGATCATGCCACCACTCCAGTCTGGGAGACAGAGCAAGACTGTCTTGAAAAATAAAAAAAATAAAAAAAAGTTGGGGAGGCGGGGGCAGGCAGGAGGCCTGCTAAGATGTTTTAATTTATCACAATCCTGTTATCAAAAAATATTGGGAGAACAATTCTAAAACGAATCAATTCCAAATTCTTCAAAATGAAGTAAAATTAATTGCAAAGTCAACCTGAAGATTTTTAAATGCCTCAAGGTCACAGATCCAAACAAATAACTGCTTGTTTAATATTTGTAACTAGTATAGCAGATAATCCCGTTTTACTGGTGGGTAAGGAGGGCTTAGAGAGGAAATACATTCTAATAACTGAGAGTATAGCACAATGGATACTTTTTACTACTTCTTTTTTTTTTTTTTTGAGACAGTCTAGCTCTGTCGCCCAGGCTGGAGTGCAGTGGTGCGACCTCGGCTCACTGCAAGCTCCGCCTTCCGGGTTCACGCCATTCTCCTGCCTCAGCCTTCCCAGCAGCTGGGACTACAGGCGCCCACCACCTCGCCCGGCTAATTTTTGTATTTTTAGTAGAGATGGAGTTTCACCGGGGTGGTCTCGATCTCCCGACATCTGCCCACCTTGGCCTCCCAAAGTGCTGAGATTACAGGCATGAGCCACTGCGCCTGGCATATTTCTTTTAAAACCAAACAAGCCTGTCATCTATCTACTAAAACAAAATTATCCAAATGTGAAGTTTTACAGTGAAACTTTAAATGCCTTTAAAAAATGAAGTTCCTGTTCCAGCCTCATTTATCAACAGAATTTAGCTCCTCCTTGTGGCTATATACCATAATTGCGCTTTTTTTTTTTTTTTTTTGAGATGGGCATTTCACTCTCACCCAGGCTAGAGTGAAGTGGCATGACCTCCACTCACTGCAACCTCGGCCTGTCTACCCCCCCGACACCTTCCCCCCACCCAGATTCTCCTGGCTCAGCCTCCCGAGTAGCTGGGATGGGATTACAGGTGAGCACCACCATGCCTGGCTAATTTTTGTATTTTTAGTAGAGACAGGGTAATTTTGCCACATTGGCCAGGCTGGTCTTGAATTCCTGACCTCAGGTGATCAACCCGCCTCTGCCTCCCAAAGTGGTGATTACAGTGGTGAGCCACTGTGCCCAGCCTTTTAAATTTTTTTTTTTTTTTTTTGAGACAGAGTCTCGCTCTGTCGCCCAGGCTAGAGTGCAGTGGCCAGATCTCAGCTCACTGCAAGCTCCGCCTCCCAAGTTTACGCTATTCTCCTGCCTCAGCCTCCCGAGTAGCTGGGACTACAGGCGCCTGCCACCTCGCCCAGCTAGTTTTTTGTATTTTTTAGTAGAGACGGGGTTTCACCGTGTTAGCCAGGATGGTCTCGATCTCCTGACCTCGTGATTCGCCCTTCGGCCTCCCAAAGTGCTGGGATTACAGGCTAGAGCCACTGCGCCCGGCCAATTTTTTTTCTTTTTGAGACAGGGGCTGTTACCCAGGCTGGAGTGCAGTGGCACGATCTCTGTGCTTCAACCTCCGCCTCCCGGGTTCAAGTGATTCTCCCGCCTCAGCCTCCTGAGTAGCTGGGACTACAGGCATGCACCACCATGCCTGGCTAATATATATATATATTTTTTGAGATGGAATTTCGCTCTTGTTGCCCAGGCTGGAATGCAATGGCGCAATCTCCAGCTCATCACAACCTCTGCCTCCTGGGTTCAAGCGATTCTCCTGCCTCAGCCTCCTGAGCAGCTGGGATTACAGGCCGCCACATCCAGCTAATTTTGTATTTTTAGTAGCGACAGCGTTTTTCCCCATGTTGGTCAAGGTGATCTTGAACTCCCAACCTCAGGTGATCCACCCGCCTCGGCCTCCCAAAGTGCTGGGACCACAGGCGTGAGCCACTGTGCCCGGCGATGCCTGGCTAATTTTTGTATTGCTTGGCAGACATAGGGTTTCACCATATTGTCCAGGCTGGTCTCAAACTCCTGACCTCAAGCGATCTGCCTGCCTCAGCCTCCCAAAGTGCTAGGATTATAGGTGTGAGCCAGTGTGCCCAGCCCATAATTCCTTTTTAGAGACTGTCACCAGTTGAAATTTCTTCAAAATATTCTTCTTTTCAGTACACCTCATGGGCTTTTCCAATTTTCAAAGATTATCAACAAAACTACAATCTGGATGTGCTGCTTCATGCCACATTTATCATTTTCTAGTTTTTACTGGGTGATAAAGTTGAAATTCAGAAGTACATGGGATCCAATTTAAATTTCTACTATCACAACATTTTAAAATATTTTTCAAAAACTGTAAATCTT